TTCTGACTCTAGAAGAGAGTAAACCAGACACCTTGCGCACAACTCTGGTTCATACATAGTTTCATCTCTTCTGCAGGCTTGCAGAAGAAAGGCTATAAAGACGCAGCACAAAACCCAGCTTGCATCTACTCCACACAGGACTCAAGCCTCTTGCTACATGCAAGGGACGACTCCTTTGCCCAAATCACTACCTCTATTTTTCTGCAAAAGCACTTCTTTTCACATCACACATATACAAAGCTGTTAGCATACAGCTTTTACTCTAATTCAGCATAGCCTTCCAGCTTTGCCAACCTCATCCAGAGCACAAAAATAAACCCCTAAACTTCTGCTCTCTTTCTCAAAGGAGCGCTACTAGGATCCAGAGTATATGAGAAATAAATAAATACAGCCCACAAAGAAACCAAAATAGAAAGACTTACCAGACTAAAGCAAAAAGATTTAGCTCCAGGAGAAAAACTGGCAGTACTGTGCTGCGCTCCAAAAAGGCTGCTCATCCCGTGCCTAACTCCCACCAGGCTCCAGCCAGCCCATTAGCAGCCAATTAAAAAGTTCACAGGTGCTAAAGTGACAAGTAGCAGAGTATTTTGCCTATCCCGGTGTAGCAAAACTCTGCAGTGGAGGAGGGCTCACTTCGGGCAGATTTGAAATGCTTTAATCAAACTAAGTTTAACAAAAACCTTACTACCCCCAAAATCTTAGTTTTTTTCTTTATACTGACTTTTAGAAATGTGAAGCCACCGATGGTTTGTTTGCATTCTCCATCTCAGCTGATTCTGAGCGTTTCTGTATTTGATCTTCATTTCCCCTGAGTTGCTGTCTGGGACATACATACATACATACAACAGCCATGCAGCTTGGTACAGCTGTATTCGAACCAAGCTTTTTTTCCTTAGTATGTATATTTCAAGTGCTGGTTACACAGACTGTGTGTGAGGGAAGCATTTACTTTTGTTTCAGCTTATCTTCTGATACAATTCCAGATACTGGATTAGAGTTACGTAATAACAATATTTTTCAGTTTGAGACAAAAAGGTAATAAAAACATTACTTTCTATCTTCATCAACTTTGCTTGGGTAGAGCTGCATTCTTAAACAAAAAGAGGGATTTTGCTTAAAAAGTTGTTCTACCTGCTTTGGTTTCCCAGGCTGTTACTGGGAATTTGAGCTGAAAAGATGTGGGAAGAATATATTCATGAAACAAACAATGATACTAAGGAAAATACACCGATGGGTTACAAATGCAGGTGGCTTTGACAGCTGGTGCTAATAAAGCCTCATGGAGAACTACTATTGCTGTCTTCTGGCTCCATAGTGAAGGAAAAGTGAAGGAAAACCAGTCGTGCACAAAGAGGCTTTTGGCCTTTAACCTCCACCCAGGACATATTGTACTGTGCTAGTGCACACTTCAGGCTAAGCTTCTTTGCAGGATAGCCTGGGCGGAATACTGGCTCAGCAGGTCCAACTTATATATGGTTTGCATTGTCATTTCCAGGCAAATCACTCACCTCTGTGAGCCCAATTTCAGGTTACAAACCTATTTTGTACCTAGCAATATCGAGCAGCATTTTTACTGGTCCTTACCTAGCTCTCAGGGTGGAATGGCAGGCTGACAGCTCCCAGCACATCCTCCTCAGCATCCTTGAAGAGGCTCAGAGATGGTAGGAGAAACCTAACTCAGTGAGGTTCACTCAGCAACAGCCAGATTTCATATGGGTTACTGCATCCTCTGCCTGTTCTGTCTGCCTATAACCTGAACTCCCTACTTGAAAAGCTGCGTAAACCCAGACACAAATAATAGTGCACTCTGTGCTTGTGCACTTGCACAGTTTTCACCATAAGGTCTCAAAATCAGTGGGTCCCCTTATATGTATTCCATAGAAAGAGTCCTTTTCTTGTTACCCTAGATGCGGTGTACACGTGTTTCTTTTTAGTACAAAATAGTTTCAGCTACAGAGTTCACAGTCTAAATATACAGGTTAGGCAAATCAAGATATGGGAACAGAAAAGAAAGGTAAAACCTCTTGCCCAAGATCAATGATGATACAAAACCAGTTCCCCTCTCACACCCCACCACCCTTTGCTGGATAACACTGTCTTGCACTGCTTTGACTGCTCTGGGCAGTTTTAATGAAGCCATGCTGAACTGGAAGATGATGATACTTTTGGGTCCTTCACATTAGTCTCAGCAGGCCTTATGGTGTCTTGAAATAGTTTTGCTCCATTCTTATCTTTAAAACCAGGAGAAATGGCTCTTCAAAGGTGGAACCCACTGCTGGCAAGAAGGCGCTAAGGATGTTTGCCATTAAAGGACTTTTTGACTCTTTACCAATGTCTTACAGCATTGGTAGACACATAAAATTACTTGCTTCCTCAGACATCTCTCCTTCTCAGCCCTTCTGTTTAGTTCTTGGTGCCAACAGACTTAGGGTTTAGGGAAATTATGAAATTGAGGAACCCAGTTTCCCAGTGTGCTGCTTCAGTTCAGAGAAAAATCCTGTCAGAGAGGGTAAAACGGCAGGAACTGCATTTTCCGTATCACAGCATCATGTTTAGCTACACAATACTCACAAGATATAAACTGAATTAATGACATTATGCCCTGTGTCCATTTTCATCAGAGCGTGGTGCAGCATAGTTCTCAATGCTGGGCAGTAATTGTTTGAATTTGTACCAATGAGAAATAGTTTGAAAAGTATCATGGGAGATCATTCTTATAACTCATCTGCTAAAAAAAAAAAGAAAATAATTGGGATGACTAAAAGTGCTTGACAATTTAGTCAACTTGAGCAACCTCATCAAAAAAAGGAGAAAACTACTGGAAATGCCAAAAATTTCCAGCTTTTAGTGTCAAAGAAGCATCTTTCTTTGCAATAGACCTTTGAAAGAAACTAGCTAGAGGGGCAAATAGTTAAAATGCAATAAAATTCTAGGACAGTGGGCACGGAAGACTTCTTAAACTGAATCAGCTGAGCTTGATCTGAAGAACAGGTGTCCCAAAATAAAAATCAAAGAAATCCAGGATGAGCCTCCCAGGACAGTGAGCAGTGCACCCAGTACAAACAGCTTGTGGGGTTAGGCTCACATGCTGTTGGATCACTCTCCACTGCACACAGAGGATGGGTATTCCTCCACCCAGGGGGGGCACAGCTGCCTTGGCTTCTCAAAGATGCGCTGGTGGCATGAAGCAGAAGTAACATTTGCCTTGAAGGAGGAGGCACAGGGGGAGCCAGGAGAGCCCACCTCAGAAGCAGGCAGTTTCTGCCGCAAGAAAAAGCACAGCTCTTTTCTTCACCAGACTGGCCCCTTTCTCAAATGGTTTAAGACCTTTTTGTCTGCCTTTGTGGCAGAAGGACACAACTGCAGGTCCAAGAGGGAAACCTGAAAAGCCATCAGATTCGCTCTGGACCAGGGTGAGGCCAGTTAAAGCAACTTGTCTTTCTGTCCAGGCACTTGAGCCGAGAGAGACAACTGTGAAACCAAACTGATTCTGGTAAAAGATGATAAAAACTGTTCCTCTAAATCAAGACAAGAACTGTTGAAGATATCTCTGTGTGTCCCCCACTCCCACTGCAGGAGGGTGACCCCGGGGGGGGGGGGGGGGGCATGGACATGTTAAAAAAAGCTAAAATAAGCTTATGAGATCCCAAATGAATGTTTCAGTTTGTCACACAGGCTGCTAGTCTCTCCAGGCTGACTGTGTCCCAACTCCAGGGTGAAGAGACTGACAGGGGCCATGGGTAGGGGCAGGAAATGAGCCACTTGCAAACCTGCCCCAAAACCTCATGGGTCTCAAGAGAAGGGCAGTCACACAGGAACAGATCTGCCTGCCCATGTGGCTGGTTCCTTTCAAGAACTGGCAGAAATGCTGAAGTCCCACAAACTGTTTCGGATATGTTGAATCAGCCTTTACCAATGAAAAAAAGATGCTGTGCTGGGTAATTTTTCACCAGCTGTAGTTGCAGGATACAGTAATCAGAGGGTGGGGTGGTCATTATTACCACAGGCACTTCTGCCATATTAAAAAGGAAACACAGTACAGACCAGTAGGATGAGCCCTGGAGACTCTGTCCCGCATGCTGTTACACACCTGGGGCGCTAACACATGAATTCTTCAGTAGTGGGATAACACCAATTCCTGCAGAGAGAATGTGGGCAAAGATCCCACAAGTTATGCCTGAAAAAGAGCTGATTAGGGATGCCAAGTTTTGTCCGTGTGTAAATTTACAGTTGGTGGCATTTCCACTGTAAGTGCCATTGTCAAGATTTTAGGATTGGATTGCAAAAAAAAACCTGCATTTGACTGAAACTTGCCATTCAACTTCTCATCATCACAGTAACATACCATACTGTACCAAGAATGAAAAGAGAGAGAGAGAGAAAACAACAACATTTAGCAGGTTTTAAAATTATGCAGATATTTTTAATGGCTTTGGAGTATTCAGACACTCACTCATATGTCAGAAAACAGATTTGATTTATAGGAATGACATTTGGCAGAGCAATTAATCCATACTATGTTCTAATCATGTTTGGTATAAGGAGAGGAAAAAAAAGTCAAACTTAGGTTTAAAGCTGACTGTGCCAGGAATTATTTTCAAAGAAGGCTCAGAAGGTTTTTTAGTAAGATCAAGGACAAAATCTGGTCTTTTATTCCTTCCCCACTCTACCACCCAACAGGAGAATGAAGACTGCATCCCATTTTCTAGTTGATCTCAACAATTAAATCTTCTTGCCTCCTCTGGAGGTAAAATGGGAGTCTGGACCTCTTTGGTTGTTAAGCAGATAAGCCCTCCTTCCCACATTATTCCTGATTTCCAGTGAGATTGCCTAAAGGAAATCTTGAGAGGGAAACTATGGACATAAAAAAAAACCAGGCAGAGTAGGGATTTGCCTTTGCGTGAAAGCCCTTTGGTCTGGTTTGTTTTTCCTGGAATGAAACTTTCATTGGTCTCATTTGTGTTCATCTCAGAAACATTTCTTGAGACAGAAATGTATAGCTCCCCACCTGGCATTGCTTAGATCTCCACTGCCACTTGCTATGGGGGCTTTCACGCCACAAGAGAACAGCGCTGCTGCTCAGGCACCTTGCAGTGCAGGCACCACTGCAGCAGGGCCCAGGCCCAAGGGGGACCCACTCTGCAGCTTCCCTCCTGGGTGCAGGGTGGGACCTTCATGTCTGGGCCCCATGGACCCTGTGTCCCCAGAAGAGGTGTCCTGCTGAGACCCAACAAGCTCACCTGGGAGGGTACAGCCAGACTGCTCACATGCCCAGCAGCTGTCTTTGCTCTTCTAGGTAGACCCATGGCTGCTGACACCTTCCTTGTGCTAAGCTGGTTTTGTACAAACATGAGCCTGTTTCTTTTATTCCTGCTTTTATCCATGATGTTGAGTTCTGCAGAGAGGAGAAACAACCCTGTGTTTCTCATTCAGTGTGACAGACATGACCATTAAGAAAAGCTTCTCTGACAAATCCATTATGGAACACAAGAGCAAGCACTACATGGTAGCTTTCACTTGGGGACTTTGCAGAAGCTGTGTGCCAGCTCACACAGTAACTGCACCATGTCTAACACAGCACTAGTGCCAGTTTGCCGGGAGAAATCTCTCTTAAAGCCTATTTTGTCTCAAATCCCTCAGAATTAAGTCGAACAGCTGTTCCACAACATACCAATGTTAGACGTGCACTTGAGCTTCTACCATGGACTGCTCTACACTGGTGGTTGGGCATTCACCAACAAATCAAACAAATCTAACACTTCATTTGATTTTCCTGTTCCTGGGTATGTTTGGGTTTTTTTTAATCATATTTCTTAAAACCAGACCTCCTCCCTCCATTAACTAGTACCTCTCATTCACACCCTACCTTCCGAAACTCCAGCTGAATTTATGCACCAATGAAAATGTATTCCTCTACACTCCTTCCAGGATAGCTTTGCAAATCCCAGGTTACACTTTTAAAACAAATAAATAATTTTTTTAGCAGGTTGCGTTTAACACCTGCTATGAAGATTGCAAAACCATTCCTATTCTACCTATGACTCAATTTTCTCACACTCATAACTCAGAAAATATTTGCCTCTGGGTTTAATAGCTTCCATATTCTTTTCTGTCTGAAGATGTATCGTTAAATATTATTACTACTGGAGGTATGTTTGGGCAATATCTTTCAGCTGTATTTGAATTAAAGGGAGAGAGAAGAGGAATTCTGACCAGATGCACTGTTTTTGGAAGACGAGTTACAAAGAACCAGCTGGTCTGAGCTAGCTTCCACTGAAAATTATACCTTTAGGAAAGACTAAGGTAGGAGAGAAAAGTTCAAAGACATTAGGGAGTAACTACTGGGCCTGCTGTAGCAGCCACTGACTGTCTTGCAGCCAAACAAGGATTCATTCAGCTCTATGCAGGTTTGTGCCAGCTTATTACCCAGCTGTACTGACCCAATAGGCCAGAGAATGCTTGCAGCAGCCTGCATAGTGGGACTGTAGCTCTTCCAGGGAAAGGGGCATACCCCAGCATCCATCAAAAATCACAATGAAATCCAATACAGTAAAACATCAACATTAGGAACTGAAAGGAAAAAGAAATCACAGAAAAACCCATCAGACTTGTGTCTTGTCAATCCTGGCCACAAACACGACCATCCTCTGCAATGATTTCTTCTTGCTAGCTCATATTGCTAGCACATATCCTCTGCCACAGATTCTGCTTTTGCAATGTGAGCTGGTGGGATGGGTGAAGCTAAATGGAGGGCTAAGAGGGGAACCTCTCCACCATATAAAATCCGTACGTTCTCTCTCTCAAAGGAGCTCTGTGCAGGCAAAATCTCCTACCTATGGGAGCTCCCGTGGGTGTTAATGGAGAGTTTCTCCCTGACACACACATCTGAACTGCCTCACTGCCATACCTGAGCAACTTGTACATTTTGCTTTGATTAACCTACCCTCAAAACTCTTCTGTGCTGCCTTGTGCCTGCTAGAGAGGGAAGAAGAGGTTGGGGCAGCTGCTGAGGTTGCTTTTCAAGGTCCCCAGGCTCTGCCTCACACCAGCTGGGGGGGGCAAAAGTGCCCATGCAAGTGCCTCAGGGCTGCCGCCCTTAAATCACCAGCTGGCTGTCCCAGCCTGGAGCAGAGCTGCTGTCTCCACAGTGCAGAGACTGAAGGTTGTGTCCAGTCTTTCTATTGCCTTCCTGTTGAGAAAATTGCTGCCTATCCAGATGTTGCTCTCCAAGTGTCAAGGACAGCCCTGTGCTCACTTTGCCCCCTTCCCAGCAGCCAGCCTTTATTAAAGCACTGACTTGGATCTCAGTCTGGTGCTGTGAGCTGCTATGTGAAGCCAGCTAGAGGATAGGTTACCCAAGGCATGAATTCACAGGTGACTTTAAGCACAAATAGTCAGACATAACGCCACAAAATAAAACTATGGAATAATAACAAAATGTGGCTTTTCAAGTCCCCTGCCTTTTTCAGGGGAGCAACTTAGGGTGTTACACTCTTACAGAAGTTAGTTAAAATTGGAACAAATAAAGATCCTAAACCAAGCAACACTTCATATGCAAGTATGAGGCCTGATGCAGTGCTCAACTGAGTCAAGAGAAAGATGCGTATTCAGTTCCCTAGGTCATAGTAAAGCATGCTTTTACCAGAACATGGAGTCTGATTTACACATTTTCACATGGTATTTTGCTATAAAAACTTTTCATTATACCTGCCTGAAGCTTTCTCTCCTAGATTTACTACTTATCAGTGTTTTTTTCCTGCACTGACAGAGACAGACACTGTCTGAGGAGTCATTATTTCTCATACAAGTACACAAAACTGGTAAGTGTTTCAGGTTTGATGTTACAGCACTCACTGTCACCTTGGTATCTGCTGCTGCCAGTTATTGTCTTCACAAGCTCTTTGTCAGAGCGGTTTCGTTTTTGCTGGAAGGCTTTCAAGTTCTCTTTGTGACTTGAAATCCGCATCACACATAGGCATGCAGGCATGCACACACACTGCTTTAAATATCATAAACAAATGATACCATGAGCCTTTCCAAAGCATCTTAAAGAGCTCTTTTCTTTCATAGGATGATGTATGTGGATTTTTCTGAGGATGCCTCACGCACTGTTTTGGGGATTTTTTTGTTTTTTAATAATAGGAAATAGGTGTTTCCTCAAAGCCTCAATTTTGAAATCTGGAGTGTGGGTTCTTCAGTAGGTGTGGCAGCATGTGGGTATTCTCTCCTGTTTTTAGAACTCAAGTTGCTATAACAACCCATGGCATCTGTTCAACCCACTACCTAAGAGGCCCCTTTCTTTATTTCTTCTTTTCTTTCTTTCCTTTTGGGCCTCCTATTCTTCTGAAGTCAAGTGCTCTGCTTTGATTTTTATTTCAGGAGCTAGCTTATGCTCCAATGTCTATATGCAGAATGAGATGAAAGAAGACAAAATCTGTGCTGAAAAGATCACAACTTTGGGAGAATATCAGGGTGAGTAGGATGAGTTCAGGGCTGGGCCCTGTTCCTGCTGAAGTAAAGACCCACTGGTTCCTGCTGTAAGCCTGACATTCACTGCCCTGGTTTATGAAAGTGGGGGTATCCCTGCTGAATGACAGAGAAGTGATGGACACTACCAGGGAGCCACTGGCAGAACAAGAGCCAACAGATGGACAATGAGTATAACTTGCTCTGTCTAATTATTATGTTTCCTCCTTATCAGCTGCTTTCTTCCCTTCTGGAGAAAATTTAGATTTTTATTAAAATGGATTGCAGGAGGGAGAATAAAAGAGACAGAATTTCATTCATTCATACCAGAGCAGCAGTGGCACACAGGCTCTGGGGTTTGGATATCCCACTCTCCCTGTGGGTTAGCTGCACAGATTTCATGCTTCAGGATACAGCACTGCCTGTGAAAATAAAAAGAGCTTGTCACTGGTAGAGTCCTTGGCTGCAGTGCCACTGGGGAAGCTGTAGTTCAGCTACAGAGTCCTACACATGGAAGAAAACGGGAATGTAGCTATAGTTCTTGTGAAGTAAACAGGACACTGGTTTCAATGGGAATATTTCTGATTTAGGATGAAACATTCTGTCTGTGAGTTTTTAAAAATACTTAGGATTTTCTATCCACAGAAATAAATTTCATTAAAACCTTTGTTTTCCACAAGAAAAAAAAAAAAAAGCGCTTTTCACTAAACATTAGCATTTTCTCATCAGCACGGCTCCAAAATGCTACTGCTGTCAGTCAGCTGCTAGCGGTGCTGGGCACACCATGTCTGTCCAGCCCCTGTAGCCCCCTGGTTTGTCAGAAACTAGAAACTGATGTGGCATTTCTTAGGGCCTCAGGCCAAGCTGAGTGTCTCAGAAACACTGCAGCAGTGTTCACAGTAACGTGCAGAGTGACAACTCTCCCATATGTGATTCTGGACACAGGTAACTTGTAAATGAACTGAGGTATAAGCTGTCCTGTCCTGACTCACATACACCTCTGAATTCATGCCTCCAAACCAAGGCACTGCTGATGAATGTGCTCAGAGCTATAGACAAGGATACAAAGCTCATTGTGGGCAGGATTTGCAGGCTTTTGGATGCCACGTGAGGTCTGTAGGAAGCCAAGCTCCTTGTCTCATGCGGCCAGCCCTGTCTGCAATGAAGCTTTCCAGCAAAGAAAGCTCATACAGGTAGCAAGAAGCCTGGTGCTGGTGTGCTGGAGTGATGTAACATGTCAATTCAGCCTCAGCCTCTCCCCACCCCACGCCAGATGCTGAAGGCAAGAGTTCGCAGGGACGGTAGGCTCAGCAGCAAACATGGCTGAGCCACACAGGCAGGAAAAGGTGGCTCTTGGATCAGTGCTGGGGACAGGAGATGGCTTAGACCCATCCCAGGGACTGGGAGGATGGAAAGCCTCCAGAGAGATCTGTCCTCCTCAGTCTCTCCTTCTTCCTGCCACCACTAGACCTAATCTTAACCTTCACTTTTACCTAAATACAAAGCAATATCTTTACTTACTAAAGAGAGGCAGACATAGGCAAGGTGTCCTTCACCTCACTTAAAGACTTTGAGGGCTAATAAGTAATCCCGTGCCATGAAAACTCCCATGAGGGGCAAGCAACCTGGTTTCCCATTTGTCTCAGGAAGCATGAGATAATTTTCTCTGAAATCACACCTTTCTCCTTCAAAGCTTCTGTGTATATTTGGTAACTTTTACATATGTCATTTCTGTACAACAGCCACAGCTCCCACCTGGAGTTTTGCAACATTGTCCACATGTTACCTTTCCTGCAGGATATAAATGTGTTACTGATACTATTTTTGCACAACAGAGAGAAAATGAGAGGTAAAAAAAAAAAAAGTAGAAGGAATGAAGTTGCATGCCAGCTGCCAAACTGGGGCTCACCTTCCACTGGAGAAAAGAGA